GCTCTGGGCCTTCAACTGGATCCTTCAGATCTCCAGTACACAGGCAGACCTTTTGCATTCTTTCACACCTGACTCCTTGGGTGGCTGTTGTAAACCAATGCTGTAAATTCTTATATATTTTTATATCTTGCATAAAATCTGTTTTACTAGTAAGCACTGAGTGAAACACTTACCTAGAGTCTGTTACTAGGGTGAAAATGGAATTAACAAAAGAACTAAGGTTGTCCCTGGATCTGGGTAGAGATTTGGTGTTTCAGTATCCTCAGAATGATCGGACAGTCTTAATAAGATAAGATATCTCTTGTCATGTACATCTTCTTAATCTAATGTATTTTGTTTTGCAAAATACAGTTACAATTAATTCTATATAGTGAAAACATGGAGAGAAATAAAGCAATGTCAGGATTTGTATTATAGATTTGACTGGATAAAAAGTCTAAGACTCAGAGGTAGCCTGTCACTAAAAGTCTTATGATCCCACAGGAGATGGGTGGAAAATATAGCATCTCTTCCTTCTTGAAATCTAATTTGATTAGTCAGTTCCTATCACCTATTGTTGGTAACTGGGTTAACTACTATTCTCATATTCACTTCTCAAGTAGTATTTCTCTTTTGCTTTTATCCTAAAATGCTTATGAATTTTTAAACAAGCTGCTCAGCCAGCTAGTTCTGGAAGAGAACTATCTGTCCTTTTGGAGGATGGCCTGATTGCTTCTGCTATTTGGGTCAGGAGTCTGAGGAGGATGAGTGTGAGTCATGGCTGAATATCTTTGAACAAATTGATGTTTTGAATGTATTTTGCTATACACCGTGTGACTTCTGGTTCTATCAGGCCTCCAGCATTGTCAGTGTGGTCTGTGTTCCCTGCCTTCACCTGGGCATTTGATGGAGTGGAAGCAGCAAGTGTAGGGTAAGCATGTGTTATTCAGGTGCAGCTCCAGAATCAGAGCCATTGTATCTGTTATCAACTTGTGTATCCCAAAGAATGATGTCTTTCCTGCAGATATGAGTAGGTTCAGTGGGGTTAGTAAACCAAAGCTTGGACTGAGTACTGGTGTACCAGAAATGGTTGTTTTTTTGTTGTTGTGTTTACTCTATTATCTGGGGAAGAATTGCCCCAATCCTAGACATGAACATTCTGCTTTGGGATTCTAGAAGGAGTAACTTACTCCCAGCACCTGGGTATGAATATAACTCAACAGTTTTAGTGGAATTTTCTGAGAATTTAGGTGACTAGAGTTCAGCATAGATGCTGCCTCCTGAAGATCTTTCAAAATTACAAATCTAATCACCTAACTTCCCTGAGTAAATGTTGCTAATAACTCCCAGGTTTCCACTGAGTAAACGATGGCATGCTAGGTTCTTTAAAATTCGTCTTCATCTAAATTAACGTCTTCTATAACTTGCTTCTCCAATCCTGTGCCCCAGTCAACTGGGGCTATTCCTAGCAGGCAACCTTTATTGTAAAACCTTTTGACTTTTTCTGTACACAGTAACTAGCTAATTCAAGTGAAAATTTACATGGAAATATTAAGGGTCAACAACAGCATTGTCAACCTTGAAAACAAAGATACCTTAAATGGGACATAAAACCCATTGTCATAGAAAATTAGACTATGTTAAGATCCAGAGGGGGCTGGGGATTTAGTTCAGTGGTTCAGTGGCCTGCCTTGCAAGCACAAGGACCCAAGTTCAATCCCCTGTACCAAAAAAAAAAAAAAAAAAAAAA